ACGGAGACGTAACAATATTTATAATAATGTTAATGAATGTCATAAAGGCCTTCTTTATAATTTGTAGCATTAATTAAATCAATCAAAGTATTTCTTATAATTGGGCATGGCATGGCCTGGTTATTATGATGCTCTACTTGCAATCACAGGTCATGGGTTCCAATTCTATAACCAAACATATTTGCCTTGCAACTGCGAGGGTCAATCCCATTGTTTGTTGGTAAAAAAGTAGCCCAAGAGTTGGTAGTGAGTGAAGTAGCTGCCTTCCTTCTAGTCAATCAGTTATGAATTAGGGAAAGATAGCACTGATAGCTCTCGAGTAGCGTTGGCTCAAAATTTAACAAACAAATACACTTTCTTATAATTACTATTTTATCATTGTTCTAAAGTACTGGAGTCACACATATTATTCGTTTCATTTAGTTTTGTTCTGCGGCAAATAATAAAACAGACATATCTACAACAGCTTCAATATTGTTGTGACGGTATGATATTCCCAGGTGTAATGATTTACTTAAGAATAATCGGGTAGGTACCACAAGATAACAGGAGGTTCGCTAGAAAATGTATTACTGATCAAAATCTCTTCTATTTCTACTGAGTTCTACCATTTCTATGAATAGAAAGAGACTAGACACAGTGTAAAACCCAGTGAACTAGTGAAAACGTTTACTTAACATACAAAACTTTAACAAAAGTGACAAGTGCATGATACAAATGGCAGCCCCTTTACTGAATAGTAAATCTGCAAATCCTCTAATAACATAATAGGATATTTATTAAGAAACAGTTAGCCTTCATTATTAAACTTAAGAGAGTATTTTACAAAGTGTCATACTGATGTCTGATGGCATCGTGTGCGACAGATAAATTTGGCACCCGCCAACCCATAACTTCGCTTTTTTAGCCAATTGAGTAATCGGCGCATCCCTTCGAGTTGATGAACTGTGTATCCAAAGTACAACCTTGAGTTTATAGTATTTAAAACAAAAAGATAGCTTTCGATCCTCGGTAATATAGTGGCGAGTATCCCCGCTTTTCACACGAGAGCCCGTGGTTCGATTCCCCGCCGGGGAGTACACATATTTATCTATGCTTTTGTATAAGAAACAACTCCGATTAAGTCTGGCTTATGCAATTACTTTTGGAATAGTCAATACATTATTTAAATTTGCAAACGATATTGAGGTTTTGGATGTTGCCAAATGTAAAGAGGATACTGCTGATTTAAAAAAGAAGTTAGATTATTCAGTGAATTTAGCAAATAAATGGCAAATGAGTTTTAATTACAATAAATGCAAAATAATCCATGTGTGTTCGCGTAATTTGAATTATAAGTATAATTTGGATGAGAATAACCTTATCAGTGTTATGAAGGAAAGAGATCTTGGTGTATTAGTTGATCAGTCTCTAAAGCCATCCAAGCAGTGTGCTGTTGCTAGTGGTATGGCAAATATGATTTTAGGTTGTATATACAAACACATTGAATACAAGTCTACAGATGTTATAATTTCATTGTACAGGTCACTGGTTAAGTCCCATTTGGAATATTGTGTTCAGTCTTGGGCTCCTTACCTTAGGAAACAAATTGAATTGTTGGAAATAATTCAGAGAAATGTTACTAGAATGGTACCTGGGATGGAGGGGTTATCATACGAAAGGCTGAAATCTCTCAAATTGTTTTCTCTTGAAAAAAGATGAGTTGGGGGATTTGATTGAGGTGTTTAAGATTGTAAAGGGAATTTATAATGTTGATCTTTTTCATATTTAACAGTGAAAATAGTAAGAGTAGGGGACACAAGTATAAATTTTGGCAAGGTAGGAGTCATCTTCAGCTAAGACAGTTTCCTTTTTCTAACAGGGTGGCTGGCCTTTATAATGAGTTGCCTTCAGATGTTATGGATTTAAGAAAAAGCTTGATAACTATATAAATGATAAGGTCTGGCTTTAAGATTTTTAAAATGATTTTAATTTAGTTTAGAGGCTGGAATAGCCGAGATGGTCCAATAGGTCTCATGTTGTCCCAAACTGTTATGTTAACTGAAGGCTTGAGCTGGAGAAAAAACTGAGACACCACAGCATTATATATACAAACTTTCTACCATGCCATCCCTCCAATGATGTTCATTACTTACTGTTAGCAGTAAGAAAAGAAAAATAAGGGATAATTTCACTATGAGATATCTGAACTGCCAGTGGTAGAGATTATTGTTTATTTCTATATAGTATTCTCCATACTGAGGGGAATCTTTCTTTTGAGAAAGCATATGCAATACCTTAGTTGAATGATCTAGTTCAAAAGTAACTAGGGCGAGAACTTAGTGGCTCCCTTGACAGACATTTTATATTAAAACTACTTACGGAGTATGTAGAGAAATCTTAAAGTTTTTGATATTAAAAAATGGGATATGAAACACATACTGCTTGCATGCACAGCGGACTCTGGGTTCTTTGAGATTATTAATTAAAAAGAATAGTGCAAATTATAGTTCCACTTAATGGTAATTGTAAAAAATGTCATTTCTTCTGTTTTTGTGTCAGACAAAAATGACATTTACTTACTAATCTTGTATCTTTGTTACTTCATCGAAATACAAATTTAATATTCAAAGTAATGAATTAGCTGAATAAAACAACTTAATTATCAACTAACAAACTTACTAATTTGCTCTAGCCTAACTCGCTCTTTACATATGGCGAAATTGTTTCTTAAAACAGACATTAAGGCGACATACATAACTTATTTTAATCTTTCTTTTGGCTAAACAACTATACAAATATCTATAAACTTCTAGATTACAAATATAACCTGTAACACTATTCCTGGGCGAATTGTGGAGCACCTTGAACTAAAACAATGGCAGATTAAACTTAAATTTACACATTGTCAAGTAGATTACATGGGATTTTAAAGTGTGTTGCCTTTAAGAATGTGTGAGAAAGAGCTGGAAGTAGCAGTGACACTGGATGACATTTTCACCCTGAACTGAGATATGCAAAATGATCTATGGGAATAAAAATGATCAGATAAAGGTGAGGAGTTTGTTTTTTTATTAATCAGTGTTATTTCACATTTACTGATGATGCACCATGCTTTCAAGAACAATAGTTATTTATAGCTGAAAAGATGTAGGTAACTACATCAACTAGGCAGAAGTAGATTGAATTTATTGCTTCATGTTACTAGCACTAGAATTAGTACACATCATAAAATGTGCGAGAGATAAAGTAAGAATCTACTGGCCATGGTTGCTAGATGTTTATGTTGCTAATGCTTAGTGCACAATTCGTTACTGCACATGGTACGTTTATTTTTTTTTGTGTTACTTACCTAAGTGGCAAATAATATAAAAATAAAGGTTATTCAGAGAACCATTTTAAAGCCATTTTATACTTTTGAGAATCACATAAAATAACCCAACTTTTATATTGTTACGCCTCTAGTCGTTAGTTAATTTTCCGTAAATTCGTTCCGACGAAACTTTAGCGACACAAGTCCTTTTCTAAATAAAACTGGTTTATTCTTTCCGAATACAACTTTACGACACACTTAATTTCAACAGTCGCTCTATAGCAAACACTA